TATATATATATATATATATATACGATAATAATAATAATAATACTGTATCGAACAGATGGAGAGGACATGAAACCAGTAGTGAAGACACAAACCTAGTTGCTTAACCAATATTCTAATCTGACATAACTCCATTGCTTAATTTCAGTAACTGCTCTTAAAAAAGAAAAATGCTGCTTCCCCAGTACAGCTCATATGATTCCCCCCCACTACTTATTTAATTATTAGTTAAATAATTTATTGTAATCAGCTATACACTGACATAATTATCCAACTTCCACAATGTTAATAACTTAATTGCCTCTTTCTTCTACCCATTTATATAAAATAACCCCACCCTTTCTGAAGCGTTGACATCATGATTTGCCCTTCTACATGGTCCTCAGACTCTCCTGCTTAAATTAACCTGTTGATAAATTACAGGGGGAGATGCTCCTTAATTCTATCCATCAACAAAATGGTCAAATGAGCAACTCAAGGGATTGAACAAGGCTCTTCAAAAAAGGAGTGGATGGCCTTCAGGCACATGGAAGGTCAAAATGCATTGTTATCATAGTACATACTCCATGCAAGACAGAGCAGAGCAACAATAATTGTCCAATGTAATATACTGCAATTGTACCCATAGAAAAGCCAAGATCTTCCTGCTGTAATTGGAAATCAGGCCAATTTCTGCATCTATATGGATCTTTCCCCCAGTTTTTATTTTATGGTTACTACAGTCTTGGGATGTGACTTAATTTTAGACATAGTAAAGAATGAATGTTAACACCTGCTCAGAGCCCATTCCTGGCAAGAACTCATGCCTAAATATTATGACTTCAAACACTGCTAATAAAGCAAATTCATAAGCCCTGTTTAGCGAGGGCTGCAGTGACATCTTCAGCCAGGGTGGCAAGTTGAGGAGATTCAAGCAGGTTGATGCTGCCGGAGGAGGAGACATTGCTGAGCCTCCGAGGGGAGGCCACACTTGATCGGCCAGGAGACTGGGTGATGATTTCAGCGCCATGGTCCACGCGGGCCTTCGCGTGCTCTCGGAAATTGAGTTTCTGGCTGTCAATCTGGGCAAGGAAGAAAGGAAGGTGCAAAAATAAAATGCAGCAACTACAGAGGTGTGAAGCTCCCCTGAGACCAATTTCACTAACTTTCCTTTAATTTCCTTGGAAAATTCTATTAATGTTTCCTTGAGGGAGCCTCCAAACTGGCACCTCCCTAATCAAGCTTCAAAAACAGGTTGCAGATGGGTTGTCTGCCCAGCCTCTTTATGAAGTTGCCCTAATTTCATTGCCTGAAATCTCATACAGCAGAACTGTTCACATACATCTCATCTTTCTCTTTAAATGAATTTAAGTAAAAAGGCATATATGTGCAAGAACCATGTGAGAAATGTTGCAATTTAACTTTACTTTTATTGGCTGATCTGGACTTTCCAAATTAATTGAATATTTCCTGTTCATGACAGATTCCCTTGGCTGAAATAATTATTTTAAGAGAATTTGCACTCTTGTGGGCATTCGGTATACTCCTTTTAAAAAATATTAAAACATTGATTTAAAACTTTTGTTTGTTTGTTTAAATCATAAAACAAATGATACTAGTGATATTCCAGTTTATACAATGTAGTTAATGTGAACTATGTAGGTCAGCTTTGTAGAAATTAAAAAGAACAGTGAGGTGCTTATGCACATAAAAAAAATAAATAAGTAAAAATGTTTTTCTGGGGAGGTTTAAAAGAGGGAGCAGTAAATCGATTTCTATTAAACTTCTATTAAATCATTTCTCTGTATTTTATGTACAACTTCTTTAAAAAATGGAAATGTTCAAAAAAAGAATTGTAATGATTTCAGGAACAAAAAGGAGGCAAAATCTGACCAGTTAAGAATCAAACATGGAGGAATCCAATGACTCTGAAAGTTTATGTACATAAACAGGTGCTCACAGTGTAAAACCTTGACTTCAGAGAGGAGGCAGGAAGTCTTTGGAACTTGGATATGGTATAAGATGGGACTTTCCACCAGTGGGAATCTCACTGTTCTTGCAGAGTTTCCTCTGGAGGAAGAGCTAAGCAGACAGTTAATTGGCTTAGCAGCTCAAGCCCAAGGGAGACACAGTGAAGTAGCACCAACCTCTATCTCTGTGTGTATCATTGTCCTTTTTATTTATAAGACTGTCATAGTTTGAACCACTCCAATATATTAAACGAAAGAACAGATAATCCATTAAATTAATATATTGATAAGCTGTCAAGTCTATAACCCTTGATGTCTTACCTTGACATTACCTCCTCCAGGCACATGGTGGGCATTTTCAAGTGAGCCAACCTTGGCATGGGCCTTTTCTTTAAAATCCAGTTTCACGCTTTCAATTTTCACTCGACCCCCACCTATATGTTATGGGGGAGGAGAAAAAAAACCTTAAAAAGAGCTCAACTCTTCTGGATCTAGGATTTAAATAGCATTTAAACCTACTGAGTAAGTATCTGATTACTATATACTTCAAAATGAAAAATGCCTGTTACTGCTATTAGCGAAAATGAGGTATATCTGCCATACAGTTACTAAAATGAAATCTGATATATATAGGTATTGGTGAACTTAGTATAACACACTAAATCATTTGTGGTTTGGTTTACTGTATTATTTGAACCCAGGTTCAATTGTGGTTAATAAGGAAAACCTTAACTACACAATATAGCAATGGCTTGGTTTAAACTACATTACCTTAACCATACTTCAGCATGTCATTTAACTTCAGCCATCATAAAACTGAAGTGCTTCTGCAGCACTGCCTCTACAGCTTTTGGGGCATTTTTTGGTTGCCTCTGATCAGTTTATGCAGAAGGAAGTATTGTGTGAAAAGTAAGTTTCCTTGCAACCACACTTGATTGCTGTGATCCGGATTGGACAAGGCTGTTCTCTGGTTAACAAAAAGTAAGAAGGGTCAGTTGGCCAGCTACCTCCCAGATAACTAGGACAGCAGCTGAAGATCTTTGCTAGGAGTGATTTGGTGTATCATCCTGGTGTGGATGATGGGGATATTTTACCCTCTGTACTACACAGAGATATAGCTTGGAGATTTAAAAAGGACATTGAAACATTACTTGGAGATAACTGCAATGGTAATAATAGAGATCCAAATTTTAAAGGTGGCCTCAAGCCACCGTGTCATATTTGCCATATTTTTAACTAATAATCAATAGATCTTTTGTCACGATTTTGCTAATTTCCATTTTCCCTTTGAAGAGTGATATACAAAATAAATGAAAATGTTTATACCTACAGATAGTTACATTTAAACAATGTTTGGAAAACACCCAGAAAAAAATAGTGAGAAACACTCATGAAAAATATCTGTCTTCTCTTTTAAAACAACTGTAGTCCAGCCATTTTAAAAATCATTTTTCTTTGAATATTTCAGTATTTTACTCCTATGAAAGATGCTCTTGCTACATAGTTGTTTTATACAGTATTAGTAATGCAACTAATCTAACTTTCAGGAGAAACAGAATTTTCTGAAATTAAGGAAGCAGGCTTCATATCTAAACTATATGGCTACTTTCATAATTTGATTGTAATCTAAATTTTATTGTAATGAAAGTACAGAAAATTAATGAATTTGTGTAAATGCAGCTCTGCACTAATAGATGAGTTTAATGTACTCTGAAAATAAAATTATACAGCTTCTTTATTGGTCTTCAAAACTTCAGGCTTCAGAAAGGATCTCTGCCAAGATGAAAGAATGGTGATGTTGGGCTATGCAGCACATCAGTTTGGAAGACAAAACGGTGCCTTTGCAGCTCCAGGAAAAAGTGTGGTTGCTTTAAGAGCAATTTCAAACAGAAGTTACATTGGTGCCCCTGCACACTCTGAAGCACCTTTTTTAAACTCCGTTCAACCACCACTACGTAATGACCCTACTTAATTTTGGAGAAAATCATTGTAACTCTGTTCTTGTAGTTTTGGGGAAAGAGGTCATCTCCATTCTTGGAGTGGCTGAGAGAACTGAGAAACCATGTAAGTAGTATGGGGCAAAAGTGTCCCCAGCAAGGTTGAAATATGTTTAAATATATTAGTTCTAGAATTGGACAGTCCTTCACTGCTAACAATGAAAAACAAAACAGGATGGTATGTCAAAATCTGCAGTTTTGATGGGGTTTCAGTAACTTGTTGGGATATGACGATCCCGAATAGACTGCTCAAATACCTCTTTGCTCTGGTTATAAGTCTGTAATCTTGGTTGTCCTCAGTGTTCCCATTAGCTTCCAAATGCAATGTAAAGGGCTAGCTTTAACACATAAAAGACTTTATAGCTTGGGACCAGGTTATCTGCAGAGTCACATCTCTCCACTTGAGTTGGCACAATCACTTGGATTGTGCCAGGAGAAGTAGCTGACTGTCCCCCATTTTGGGGAGGTTGGGTGGAACCTGGAGGCATTGCTTGGAGGCATTCCCTCTGGAATGGCTTCCTACCAGAGGTTCAATTGGGTCCAGCTTTATCCGCCTTCCAGAAACAGCTGAAGATGGAGCATTTAGGTGTTAATGCCAGGTATTGTTTTGGGGTCTGTCTATATAATATTTTTAAACTATTTATGATTATTTATTGTCTTATTTTGTAAACCACTAAGAGTCTACTTACAGGTGCAGCAGGATAGAAATTTGATAGATAAATAAATAAATAAATAAATAAATAAATAAATAAATAAATAAATATTTCGCAACTTAAGTCACTGCAGTGCTAAACTTAGGCAATATGCGTGCGTTTTTAATGTTAAAAATGTGTGAGACCAGTTACTTCATGTAGGTTTATCTATTTTAAAACACTTGGTAAATTTGGCCCCAACGATTTATCTGCAATTATCTGGTTTTACTGGAAAAAGGATTTTTCCCTTTTTTAAAACTTGTGTATTATATCCTGTTTCAATAACCTTCCACAAGATATATTGTTTGTATGATTTTCTCAGGGCACATTTGACCCAATACCAAACTAGTGCATTCAATCTCTCTCTAATTTAGTTCCCTGTACTTAAATGATGTAATGAAGTACATAATTCAGAGACCAACATAAAAGTTTCACAAACAATCATTAATTCCTCGAAGTGTGCACTGGGAAATGCTTAAGACCAATCTACTCTCCGGAGGCTTTTTGGTATGAGTGCTCTTGCACTGCTCATTTTCCTCCCATGTCATTTACTGATGATGGATGGATAGGCTTTGCTAGGGACCTCCTTCCTTCCCTTCCTCCTACCCTGCCATGTAGCAATGGCAATGAACGAGGTATTAGGGATATGGAGGATGCAATTTTCCCCAAACATCCAGACATCATTATTGAATAAGAGTCCCTAGAAATGAACCTATAGGCATTTATAGAACTTCTAGACTTTGTAGAATTCCATTTCCCCTCTGGAACATTTTAGCATTACCTGGCCTATGACGGATATTCTTCAGGGAGCCACATTTAGAAGTCACATGACTCAAGTCTATCTTCTTGGTTACAATTTGCACCTGTTTAAAAAATACAAAATATATCTGTATGTGTATAGAGATAGATATATAGACACACAGAGAGATGCATATTTATATATGCAAGGAACAAGAAATAAAAATAGAAAAGGGATGTGTCTGGTTTGAAAAACCCAGTAAAAAAAAAAAGATGATTAGAAGGTAATAATCATGGTACAAAGAACATTACCCAGGTTAATACAGCAAACGTCCCATTGGAAGAGTGAATTAGTGGAATCATTTAAAATCTCTTTCATTAGTAAATGTAAGGTTATAAATCAGAAAAGTAAGTGAGATTAAAGATAGAGATTTTTAAAGATGGAGATAACATTTGCCTCAGTGCTGTGTATTGAAACGTGTCTTTTAAAGCTTCTTTTCCTTAGGTGATCAAGGATGTTCGATTTTCATTGCCTGACTTTCTGCTCAGAACAATTTTCTGTCTTAGGCTACTTCATAAACTTCCTTGGCTTTTGAGAAACATTAGTGGACATACTGTCTTATAATTATGACATATTTAAGAGGTGTTCACTAGATCTACCATTAAATATCATCACTTGGAATAAGTTTACTGAAAGGGTCAAACCATATAATTGGGCAAGTGAGCCCTAAGATAGCTCTTATAGCTCTACATATCTCCCACTATGAAGTGAAATCATCTTACAGCTAGTTAACATGCCTTGTTCAGTGGCTATGACTGCCATCAGGTGAGCACTTACTAGGACAAGTGAGTGATCAGATCATTATTCTTACCTTTGAATCACTGACAATACATCTGACCTTTTTAATCAAGCAAAGGTAACTTTCTGATTTTTTTGCTTTCAGGCCTTGATTAATTATGGAGTTCAGAAGAACCATGGCAGTTAGTCACTACATCAGTGCTTGCAGAACAGGGTGCTTTGTGAAGAAAACCTGGCTCTTACCCTTCTGAGTGAAGACAAGGACTTCGCTGTGGCTTTTTGAGGAAGGAGGGACATACCACTCAGGACACAAAGCTGATGCATCACTATGCCAAGTTAATGTGTGAAACATTAGCAAGAAGAGAAGCAGTCTTGGTAGAGGGTTAAAGGGCTAGTTTATAGAGTGGTTCCCCACAGCCAGCTGGAGATCAGTATAAGACAACACCTCTACTTACATTTCCTCCCCCTGCTGAATGTTTGATGTTATCTCTTGAACCACATCTGGATTGTACATCGCTAAAATCAATCTTCTTGTTTAAAATCCTAACCTAAAAGGAATTGGAGGTTATCTTACTATTAAGCATGTTCTTTTAGCCTTCTTGATTCTGAAAACCAGGGTTCAAAACTATGCTGTAAGGTGTGTCTTTGCACGATGCACTTAATTACACACTAAGCAACCAGTCTCTTGTACAAATCTACTGTCTTCCTCAAACACGGTCCACATAGCTATACCATCAGTTGCTGGAATATGTTAACAAAGTATAATCACAGTAATTAATGAACAACATATCAATATATTATTGTCATTCACCATAAAATGCCATGATATAGTAATAATGGGTAGCTCTATGCCATATTTTTGTGTGAATAAACATGTATGAAAGATGGAACATGTGAAACACACACAAAGCAGGTCCAAAAGGCAGAAAGGTTGGTTCAGGAAGATTTCAGCTTACATAGCATGTGCAATGGTTCCAAAATAAAGAGTCAGAAGAAGACACCACAAAGGATGATTCCTTGAATAACAGATCATTCCCATGCAAGCTGGATGAGGAAGGTCGCTCTAGTGGAAAAGCACCAGGATATGCAAGAAAAGTTTCAAGGTGGGTCTGGCCAAGCATTGATGGCCTGTCCAAACTTGTGGAAAAGTACAAAAAGGTACAGGGATTATCCTTGACCATCTTAGAGAATGAGGATTCTATGTGGGCACCTTATCTCAATTTGGTAGCCTTGAGGACTTGGATGTGCTCCACAGCCAGGGGGTCAGAAGGGTAGATGGCTGTTATGAGGCTTTTGCTAATTGTTCTGTTTGGGTTTACTCTTGGCAACCACTGTAGATTTTACTCTTTGTTAATATTGGTTTTTTTATTGTTTGTATGTGTTAACTGCCCAGAGTCATATTTGCAACATGGGTGGCCATATAAATTGAAATAATAATAATAATAACAACATATTTTATTTATTTATTTATTCATTTATCAAATTTGTCACCTCCCATCTCGTTAAAAAGCAACTCCGGGGGTTTATAGAGAAGATAAAAATCAAAATACAATATAAAAGCAGTCTTAAATAAATAATAGATAAATTCCAAGAATTGATAGAATTGGCAAGTAGCTCAGGGAGCATCAACAGGGCGCCAGCCACCCCAAGGATTGATTAGAACTCTTGTCATCCCATGCAAGCTGGCAGAGCCAGGTCTTTGGTCCTTCCCAGAAAGCCAGGATAGGAGGGGCCTGCTGCACCTCTGGGGGGAGAATGTTCCAAAGGGCAGGAGCAACAGCAAGGAAGGCTCTCCTCCTGGGCCCCACCAGTTGACATTCTCTCACTGATGGGGTCTGCAACATGCCCTCTCTGCCTGACCGGGTGGGATGGGTTGTTGTGATGGGGGTGAGACAGTCCTTCAGGTAACCCAGACCCATGCCATGTAGGGCTTTAAAGGTGATAACCAACACTTGAATTGGACCCAGAAACAAACTGGCACCCAATGCAGTTCCTGCAGTAAAGGTGTTATATGTGCCATCCTTGGGGCACCCAAGTTATATATACAATATAATATATGTAATATATTATGTAATATATATGTAATATATTATATTATTGATTTCAAACGTAGTCTGGCCAAGCAGACTTTGAATTGGGAAAATAAGCATGGATGTGTCAATGTGTGAACAAATGGAAGTTTCTATTTGGGAAGTGAACAATAGAAAATTCAGATTTGCATTTGTATTATATGACTGAATCTCTGGATAAAAAAAGAGCAAGTAGCACTGAAAATGTTTCCAGCCATCAGTGGGACACAATTTTAGTCAGTCATGTATGCAAATAATCATGTGAAGGCAAATCCTGAGCGAAAAGCCTTTGCAAAACAGTTTCTGTCATTAAAAATACCTCGTTCTTTCTTTATCAATTCACTCTAGCTGTTTCTTAGGGAAAAAAAAAATTCAGGGAAGCAACTGCTTACCCAGGCTACTATCTATTAGAGTAATTTATTAAGTGCCCATCAGTATAATGATGGAAGAAGGAAAGCTATTATAAAGGGACAAGAAAAAAAACAGGGCTGAGCCCAAAACAGGTGTCTGGGATCTGGCAAGTAGAATCAAATTACCAAAGGCCTGCTCTATGATTTAGGGATACTTATATATTAAACACCAATTGAGATTTTCATTATGAGTTGCATATAATACCATACATAAGGAGCAGCCAATGTTAACTTTTCTTGAGTGGTGAAAAAATTTACTTCAGAACCTTTATCTTCCTGAAAAACAGGCATACTGAAGGGGATTGAAAATATGAGTCATCCATCTAATAAGATATACTACATGCATACATGGATGCATTAATTTATATCTGGTCAATGTCAGTATCACCTAAATTCAGTCATTAGACCAATCCATTGAAGTTCCACATCATATTCACACATACACAAATCCCACAAGAGTTTCAGAATATTTTGCCAACATTTCAGTCATTAGACCAATCCATTGAAGTTCCACATCATATTCACACATACACAAATCCCACCAATCTGCAATTGTTTCTGCATTTCATTTTCTCTAATACTTAATATACAATCTGCCCAGATATGTGGATTTTTAATATAAATTTAAGACAAGAATTATTTTATGAAGGGTATTAACTGACTCCCTAATTTACATGCCCTTTTATGCTACAGCGTATCATATTATTTTGACAAAGGGAGGGGAAGCTGATAGTCTTCTCCAATATCTATAAGTGGACACTTGCATCAATTTCTTTAAAAATTCCACAATCATTCTTAATATTTATCAAGCATAATAAGAAAGAAGCATGTTGGCAAAATATTCTGAAACTCTTTTATTTCTCAAACTCTCTCTTCCCTACTACTGTCTGATTCACACATATTGCTAATGTTATTAATATCAGTTAATTAATTTATTAATTAATGTGGTGGTTTATTTACTTTAAACTTAGCATGATGTTAAACTTTCTTTCATGCTGAAAAAACACCTATGTCTTACTAACCACAACATTAGGATTAAGTCATTATCTAGGATTGCCCTCTTCCATCTCTTCATACTATATTTCATGTACAGGTAGTCCCCAGGTTAAGAACACCCAGTTTAAAGATGACCTATAGTTAAGAACAGAGCCTACTGTAGCAACATTCAAGTTAAATACACAATGATTCAAGTTAAATACACAATGGTTTGAGTTCAATACACAATGCTAGTTATACAATGATATTGTTCCAGCTTACATACAAATTCAACTTAAGGACAGACCTTGGGAACAGAACTTGTTCTTAAACTGGGAACTACCTGTATTACTATTGCTGTATCAGAGATGGGAAACTTCTCTTTGGCTTCGAGCCACAACACAGTCTCTCAATTTCCCAACCTCCACTCATGCTATCCAAAACTGGCATTTCAGTGACACAATCTCAGAGCAGTCCAAGGTAGAAATGGAGAGCTGGAGATGAATGCTATCAGCAGGTTGCCTACCCCTGCTATATGGCTCCTCTAAACAGATATCTGAGCACTGGAAAATGAAAATAATTCACTCTTACAAAGCTGGAGAAGACTATTAATCTCTAAATGCTTCCACCTAGCATTTTTAATTGCAATAAACATTAAAAAATGGAGTTTAATGAAACTGTTAAAGTCAAGATAAGGTCTGGAAGACCAAGAAAAATCTTGCTAGAACTGCCAGAAAAGTGATCCAACCTGAAAAACAGAACCCACAGATTGCTCCAAACTGGAGGTACCTGTATTATGTTTGGGATTCTGTGCCATCAGTGGCACAGGAAATATTGAGTGGGTGGAAAAGATGAGTTCAACTAATTATCAATGTATCCTAACATCCCATAGACAGTGAAGCTGAGAAGAAGTTGGTTATTTCAGCAAGACAACAAACTGAAATCTATCTCCAAACCAACCATGAAATACTTATTAGGAAAGGAAGATGAAGATTTTGGAATGGTCTTCACAGTCCCCAGGCTTGAATATTGTTGAAAATCTGTACAGAGATTGCAAACCACAGTGCATACAAGGAATATTTCTGAACTCAGAACTTCCCTGAGTTATGAAGGGAAGAGTGGGAAAAAAAACAAGAATAGGAGGATTCTTAGCTGTCTGCAGGAAATATTTGGAAGCCATTGCTTCTGCCAAAGGAAGCTAGCAAACTGCTGACCAAAGTGGTATCTGAACTTCTGCACCTGAAGAACAAGTAAAAGAATGGAGGGCTCAGACCTAATAGGATAAAGCAGCAAAGAGAAGGAAGATTGAAATCTTGGGGGGAAAAGGCTGCAGTTCATTAGGAGAACTATGTTCTGTATTCAAATTGGGCCAGATTTAATCCCTTGTGCCACTAAATGATGTAGAGAAAGACTTTTGTTTGATCTCCTGGAGAATTGCTGACTTCTGTCTGATGTCTCTGTTAATGGAACAGCCTAAAGCAACCACACCTTTTCCCAGAACTGAGTGGTTGCCTGCCATATGACTGAGAAAAGACACATTCAAGGCATTCTTGACAGGTGCAACATGAGTGCCCACATGAACTCTGAATCAGACTTTTTTCTGAAAATACAACTCTCTGCTGAGTCCTAGGACATAATGTTGAGGTAGATGGACCTCTCTGACTCAAGAGTACAGCAGCTTTATATGCTCCAGTTTCCTGGGAGGGCACGGCACTCAAGAAAGACAGGAAGCCACTCTAAGGTTTTAAAAGTTTTCTGAACTGCCCAGAGTCACTGGGAGTTGGGTGGTGTACAGACTAACTGACTGACTGACTGAATGCATAAATAAATGGAATGTCACAAGGTCAGACAAGCAAGTAAATTATTTTGAAGAGATAGTATCAAAGAAAGGTAAAAGAGTTAAGATATGGTGATGGAAAACCAGAAAAGAAATGTTGCAATAATTAGGCAATAAATACAATACTGTATGAACCAATTTTTTTGCTAGAGTAGGCAGAGGATATCGGAAGAACTGTCCCTTTTGAAGAATAAACTGAAGCTAAAATATTTACCTTTTCAAATAGGCATTACAATACATATATTTCCAGATGACAA